CCTATGGTAAAAAAAAAATAATAATAAAAAATAAATAAATAAATAAATAAATAAATAAATAAATAAGTAAATCACAGTTTGAGGAATTAGCAATCTGATTTCATTGGATTAATGTAAGGATGGGAAAATAGTAATTACTATGAAAGTTCAGTTATCTTTTACACATAATTTTAATCATTAACCAAACATTATTTTTGATAGCTTGGGAGTATGAACTTAGTTTTCAGCAGGAAGATATTTGTTGAATTAATTATAACTTCAATTTTACAGGAGATCCAAATAAAAGAGGGACATGGAAGAGCGGTGATGGCTGCATTTATTCTCAATGCTCTAACTGGGTGAGTTATTGTTCTCCCTCTCTCTTCTCTTTTTCTTTTGTCTGTATCTACCTGTCTGTCTCTGTGTGTGTCAGCCTTGTCTTTCTTTCTCTTACTCTTTCACTGTCTTTCTCCTTGTCTGTCTTTCTCTTACTCTCTCACTGTCTTTCTCCTTGTCTGTCAGTATCATGGCCACAGTACTAAAATTCTTGAAGGATTCCTAAACTATAGCCACAATTGCTACCCTGACATAGCATCCCGAGACTTTGGGTTTTACCGAAAGTACCTTTCTCTTTCCCTTTGGAGTTTTCAATCTTGATAAATCTCTGAGTGCAAGTGTGTTATATGTCATGATATTTATGCAACCTTTTCCCCAGTTAACCTGGTGCTGCCCACTGTTAGTGTAGTACATTAACCCATTGCCGACAGGCATGCCATGCCATGCCCACTGTGAGATTACTTGTTTGATTGTTTTTACACATAGATAGCTACACTTGTACTAAATCACCAATGAGCCAATTACGAGTACTACCTGTATCGCCCGTTTACCCTTTTCTTTGATTTACAAAATATTTTACGTTATCTTACTTTGCTGTTACTAATGTTAAAAGACATTATAATAATTATAATGTTTATAATAAAAATAACACCATCGATATTCATGGCACTTGTGAAAAATACGTTTTTCCTGCCATTTCAAATCAGGCACTAACAGAGCCATCTATGGGCAGACATTTCACAAAAAAATATAGAAAATAGGCACAGCATTTTCCCCATTTTCTGTTAATTTTCCCCGGCGGCAATGGGTTAATTGTCTTTACACACAGATGGCTCCACAAGTACTTAGTCAGATTGAGATTGCTTTTAGTATTGATAATAACTTTAGATTTTATTTTAATGATAATAATAATAGCATCAATAACAACATCAATACTAATAGCATTAATAAATAATTAATAAACATTTTTTTCCTGAAAACTCAATGAAAGATGAATTCAGATGAGGTTATAAGGTTGAGTAATTGACTACTTTTGGAGCCTTATATATGTAGAGAATTTTCACAAAACAGTACTAGAGTGAACACTACATTTTCCCAGTGGTATTGGTTTAACTTCATTAAGCTTTAGTTTTGTTACTGCAATTTTTGTTTGTATCCAGCTGATACATGTCAGGAAAGAACTCTTATGCTCTTTTCCATTAAAAAAGATAATAATAATAATAAAAAAATAAAAAAAAATGAATAAGAATAAATTAAGTATTATTGCGCACACGCACACACACACACAAGCATACACAGACATATGTACACATGCCTGCATGCACACACTCACACACACAGATACACACATACATTTAGTTGTTTTTGATCTATGGCAGGTGGACAGAATCTACAGTGGCTCCTTCCTCTAATCATAAACTTAAATCCGTGCAAGGCTTTCTTTCAATTTTTCACCAAACTAGATGCATTATACCTCATTTTGTTGTCCACATCTGTGACAAGACTGCTTCATTTGCCACAGCCTTCTGTAAAAAATATATATATATATATTAAGAAAAAAAAAAATGTACCCAAATCACTGCCAGTTTCATGAGAATTTTTTTTATATATACATTTTGCATACCCTGATGCCACTAATGTATATTTCTGAACATGGTTGAATTGCTTAGTTAATACTTTGCAGACTTGTAAACCTATGTTGCTGAATGAGTATAGTTTTAAGATTTGTGTGAAGTTTCTAATCCATTTATTTATATTTCAGATCCTTAGGATTGTGGAAAGTTGTTCAAAGAACAAAGCAGTGTCTTGATTTCACAATAACTGCTCATTTTCTACACATGTTATTCTGTTGGTTTTATAATGGCCATCTCCCTTCTCAACCGTCAGTGTGGCTCCTCCATCTTGTAACCATAACGCTTATGTGTGTTCTTGGAGAATATCTTTGTATGAGGACTGAGATGCAGAATATCCCTGTGATGAGTTCAAAAGTTGATCTGTGAATAGTACGTCAGTTTTTATACTGTATTTATATTATTTTATTTTCTATATTTGTAATAATAGTCAATATTAGCTAGTGAAAATTATCTAGATGTATAAAAAAAGAAAAAAGATACCTATAAAACTTGTATGAACCATTTCCACTTAGGCGTATAGGGTATTTTAGGAAATATTTTTAACTGGAGGTTTGTGATATTGATTTTAGTAACGAGAATGTTGGAAGTATTTTTTTTTTTCTCTTTTATTTAGGACATAGCTAGGTAGGATTGCAGTCCCAATACATCCAAAGAATTCAGATGATTTTGTTGTTGACCTTAGTGTTAGAAGTCATCCAGTGAGACAATATGAAGCTTCCAAATATTACCTTCCATATAGATGAAGGATAGAAGAAACAAAATGAACAGATGTAGAAAATTTTGAATACCTCACTTTATAATAGGCTTCTCTCCCCCCCCCCCCCTCTCTCTCTCTCTCTCTCTCTCTCTCTCTCTCTCTCTCTCTCTCTCTCTCTCTCTCTCTCTCTCTCTCTCTCTCTCTCTCTCTCTCTCTCTCTCTCTCTCTCTCTCTCTCTCAGAAATTACCTTTTGTTTCATTAATGACTGCATATGTAGAAAACCATGCATTGGAAATACAGAAATGTTTTATAGCATGTTTGATAAAATGTCAAATGAAAGTCAAGCCACTGTGCAATAATGTGTAACTGTTTTGCATCATGCACAGTGGACTAACATTGGATAAATAGAATGGAAAAAAGGAAAGAACAATATTTTTTTGCTAAACTCTTTTGTTTCTTTATTCCTATTGGTTATTTTTATAATACAATTTGTGATAGAAGTGAACATGAACTTTTAGTGTTTTTATTTTTTAGCTGATAGGATGATTATTAATGATAACTGTAGTAATTTTACAAGGACTACTATTATTGCTGATGATGGTCATGATGTTAGTTTATTTTGTTTTTTTGTAAAGATTATATTTTTTCTCATTAAATATATCATATACCTAGCTCTTCATATACATTAAATAATGGTTCCCAATCTTTTAACCCATAGATATCAGGAGTGCATGTTTAGATGGTTCCACAAGTATACAGTCACCAAGGCCTATCTGAACTCACCTGTTTATCAGTGGTGTAGATAGAGGGGGGGTCAGGGGGGCAGAAAACCCCCTCTAGAGCTAAACTACCATTTTGTTGGAATATTGATAATCTTGTCGGAAAATGATCCTGAAGAAATGAAAATGCTCATTAAATTTTTGTCGGACAATCTGCATTTCTGGCCCCCCTCTATAAAATTTCCTATCTACGCCACTGCTGTTTATCCCCTTCATTAAGTTTTCAGGAAGAAATGTTTTAATGTTATTGCTATTATTAATAATATACTGAAATTGATTTTCAGAATAATGATCATAAAAATAATTGTTAGTAACTTCCTTGTTCAGAGAATTCAAAGAACCAAGTAAACAGATGAGGCCAGGTAAGCATAGTAATTAATTCCTTGGTAACTCAGTGCTTGTGAAGTCAACTATATGTAAACAAACTTAATAAAACAAAAAACTATGGTAGTCAGTGCATGTACCTGGTGCTAATGGGTTGACCATTAGGCCTCCCTTTGGTTACACTTCCCCACACACACACACACACATAACCTAATTCAACATAATTTTACTGAAGCATAGTTGATGAAAGACAAATCTTTTCAAGGTGAGTTGCTCATGTATACTGATCATGTGAGTATGTGCTCATTAGTAACATGGTAAATAAGCACCATACAACCCAAGAAATCTTTTATTTGGAACTGTCAACCCGTTGGATCCAGGGGCTTCGCTGCCTGCAAGTTGACCAAAATCCAGGCAGTAGACTTACTTGAATGGCAACTCTCCCGGCCCACACAAACTCTTGTGTGTGGTGTCAAGACTCCTTGCCTCCCCTTTGCAATGTTATTACTTTCTTCATGTACATTAGCCTTCTCCCCCTCCCCCATTTTCCAAGGTTTATATTTGTCACATGATATATTGTATCAAGATGGAATCGACTGTCCTCCTTGCCCAGACTCCATATCATCTCTTTGTAAAACACCCTGCATCGCTAGTCACAGCAATCAGGAATAGGATCCTGAGCATGGAAATAGTGTCCCCCCCCCCTGGAGACGGTGCTCTTCCAGTTATGGCTCACAAGTGGTACATTCCACACATGTTTACCAGTGTAACTAAGGCAAGAGTCCCTTCCTAAATGCCCCCTGAGTCTAATCACACTCCAAGAGTTTTGTGCACTGGTGGTGAGTCATTCCCATCACCTCAGCCAAATTTTTAATGATGTAATGGTTATGTCACCTGGATCCAAGGAGTTAAATGAAATGTGAGCAAAATTCTGGAATTCTTAGAGATTAAAGTGTCATTCAGTAAAGTAGTGTGGATTTTATGTTTCCCACTAAAATATAAATATCTTAATGGTATTACTCAGATATACTAAGAGATTTAGCATTTTACGATGATCAGAAACAATTTGTACAATGAAAATATGGGAAAATGTGTCTATAAGTAAGAGACAAATAAAATATAAATATATGTGTGTACATATGCATGTGTACATGCTTTTACTGTTAATGTGAGTCGGTGACTCAGCATGAGTTACTGACAAAAAATGTATTAAAACATATTAGTGTAGAGGTTTGGAAATATAATTGGGATATTTTCAGTTACTCTTACTTAATATTACTGTATTTAAACATGGAAGTAGCAATTTTGACATATGTATGATTTAGAATAATATTTTGGGATGTAAAATTTATATTTTGAAATAAAAGTTGTGTATATGATATAAATATATACACTAATACATAAGAATTATACATGTATATATATTTATATATACATATATACATCAAGAGCAGTTACGTGTACAGTCTATCCTTATTATAACAGATTATAATGGAACATTCCAGTTTAAATAATGAAGTGGTTCATTACAGTCAGGATATCTATTAACCCAATGGTGCCGGGGAAAATGAACAAAAAATGGAGAAAATATTGTGCCCACTTTCTAAGTTTTTCGTAAAATGTCTGCCGATAGATGGCTCTGCTAGCGCCTGATTTAAATGGCGGGAAAAACGTATTTTTCACTAGTGCTATGAAAATCGATGGTGTTATTTATATCATAAACATTATATTTTTTCTAATTTTTTTTAACATTAGTAACAGCAAAATAAGATTACGTAAAAAAAATATTTTGTAAATCAAAGAAACGGGTAAAGGGGCGAGACGGGCGGTGCTCGTAACTGGCTCATTGGTCGTAACTGGCTCATTGGGGAGTTAGTACAATTGTTGCCATCTATGCGCAAAAACAATCAAACAAGTACTCACGGTGGCCATAGCACGTATGTACACGTCATACCCGGCACCAAGGGGTTAAAGCCTTTCCAAGCCCAAAGTGATTGTTCCCTAGTTTCAACTCCTTGTTCTCAACTTGGGACAAACTCTAGCCTGCATTATCTTTTCTGTAAGGTTTATTCTTCCCTACATCATTACTTTCTCGCCCAATTATAACTCTTTAAAAATCATTGCCATAGGACAGCAAAATGTTACAACTATCCCCTATGGTGTTGTTTTTATTATAAACATTATAATTTTTATAATGTTTTTTAACATTGGTAACAGCAAAATAAGATAACGTAAAATATTTTCTAAATCAAAGAAAAGGGTGAACGGGCGAGACAGGCAGTACTCATAACTGGCTCATTGGTCATTTAGTACAAGTGTAGCCATCTATGTGTAAAAACAATCCAACAAGTAATCTCACAGTTGGCATGGCATGGCATGCCCGTCGGGAATGGGTTAACATGCTAAGCCTTGAAATATCAGTAACATTGTAGTTTGAATATCTCTATTTATGTTACTTGTTAATTTTTTTTTTATGTCATTTTGGTAAATGTATTTCATTTTGAAGATCTGTCTGGTAGGTCCTTTGAATCCTTCAACTATGTTAATTTGGGAGTTAGGATTAGAGCTGTAGACCACAGCTGAGTGGTCAGTTCTTAGAATGGGTGTGTTGTTGATGGACAAGGAGAACACTAACAAATCTTTTATCTGTATCCAAGAGGAAAGGGAGGGTTAGTGAATATTAAAATTTGTCTGTAATAAATGGAATCAGTTATTTATGAGTAGTGTTTTGGATATACTGTGTAGACACACATCTGACATACTTAACCCATTGCCGACAGGCATGCCATGCCATGTCCACTGTGAGATTACTTATTTGAGTGTTTTTACACATAGATGACTACACTCGTACTAAGTCACCAATGAGCCAATTACGAGTACTACCTGTCTCGCCCATTCACCCTTTTCTTTAATTTTCGAAAATATTTTACGTTATCTTATTTTGCTATTATTCATGTTTATAACATTATAGTAATTATAATGTTTATAATAAAAATAACACCATCAATATTCATAGCATTAGTAAAAAATACATTTTACCACCAATTCAAGGAAAGGTGAAATCAGGTAAGCCATTTCTGTGTAGAGACATTTCACAAAAAAAATATGAAAAAACAAGCACAGCATTTTCCCCATTTTTTTATTCATTTTCCCCGTCAGCAGTGGGTTAATTCATGTTTTGTAATTTTACCCTTGAAGGTACTTTTACATAGGATAGACCCAACCCATCTCCATTAAAATCTGAGTCGGCAACTTCTGAGCTAGGCCCTACCTCATCACATTTATTCTTTGGAAATGTTGATTTTTTTTTTTTTTTTTTTTTTTAATACTGTTTTTACCATTGAAATTACTGAACCATCTCAAGAGAAAATGTACTGAAATAACACTTAACATAAAATAGTCAGGGTCAAAAGGGGGGGGGGGAAAAGCTAATGGCATCATCACGCACTCCCTTGCTCATTGTTGTCATGTGGGGCTTAGGAGACATAGACTGAGTCCTAATGTAGAGGATCATGCCTGCCTTGGATCTCAACCCTCGCCTCAACAAATTTTGCAAGATCTTTTCTTCTCCCCCTTTCCTTTTCCTTCTCTTCTTCATCCCTTTCTTCTGTCCACTTATCCTAATAATTTACTCATTTCTAACCCCTTTTCATCACAATACTATAATGCTATACTTGGGGCTTGGCTTCCAAGTCTCACCCCATTGCTGTATCTTGAATACGCCACTAACGACATTGGATGTTGACATGG